GTTCTGCTGAGTCAGCGCGTCCTCGTGTTTGAAGCTGTGGTTGGAGAACTGGGAGCTGTGGTGGGTCGGAGTGTGGCTGTAGTTCCCCCCATCGAAGGCCACGGCGCCGTAACCTGCAACGCAACAACACTCTGGTCAACACGGGAAGGTCAGCGCCACGAGGATCCACTTCATCCCCTCAGAAATGTTTTGTTTGATTTATCACGAACACGAGCGTCTGAGCGTCTGAGCTGGTAAACGTGTGAACGCCAGTCATTCAACACACGATTTCTTACAGAAGAAAACTAAATGAATTCAACTGTTTGGCATCAGAGTCGACAGGAAAGTCACAGGAGAGAACATTTGGTGCATTTAAACCAAAAACAGGACAAATTTGCTGAGCTTCTGATTCAGTTTAATTCTTCAGGTTGTTTCTAACTTTTAACTATTTACTGTCTTTTAAAACAGAATTTTCAGTTTTCTCTAACTACGGGTAAAAACTAGTAAAACTACAGAAAACTAACAATAATTTACATGTTTACCCAAAAAAAAAAAAAACTGCCCAAAATTGCCAGTAACACTTGTTCTTTTCTAATATTTGACTGAACAATTACAGTTTTTCTTCTTCCTGTATTTAAATCAGCAAAAAACGGAATTATTTTACAGATATTTGTAAATTTGTTTTAGAATTGAAAAACGTTTTGTTAAATTAATGTCTATTAAAATCACAGAAAAAGAAGTATTAAGTTAGATGTCGACTGCAAAAAAAAAACAAAACAACAGACCAAAGCTTTAATAATGTCCACGGTTAAAACGGTAAATTGCTCTTTTACAATATTTATTAAAAACTGTTCCACAGATTTTTTTTCCTGTTTTGTTAAATCACAAAAAANAATTAAAGTTAAAACATCTTCTGTTTATGTTCACACCTGGTTTATGTTTAGAGTCAGTGGGTGGGGCTTATATTCAGGTGCCTCCATAGTCCAGACATTACGGTAGTTTCTTTTTTTCAGCTCTCAGCTTGGCTGCATCTGATTGGACGAATGCGTCACTCGTGAGCTGAGTGTTCCTGGATCTAAAACCGGGCCGACGTGGCAGCTCGCTGTTTAATTACACAAACAGTTTATTACAACACGACTGAGGGTTAGCGAATACGTACCGGTACGAATACGACTAAAAACATTTTAAAAGTCTGTTTTATTCAGTAACATGTACAGTATGGGTCTGATTGTTTTCTTGTATTTGGAGGTAAAAATATTCCACAATAATAATCATCATAGAGAGCTGATAATAGAAACTCAGACCGTGCTGGAAGAACATGTCTGTAAATAACCTGAACTCAGCGTCCTGGTGTCAGACGAGAACGTCTCCAGCTGGACTCGAAAGACAAAGAGAACGGCCAAAGTTTGGACCTCAGTCAGGGTCACAGTGACATCTATGTGGAGAGATTCTAACAGCGAACTAAACGAGTCCAGTAATTAGCGTAATGGTCTAACGGCGTTCCAGGAGGATCCTCCCCCGCCACTCAGACCTTCCTGCTACTGTTGGCCGGCTTCCTTCAGTGGCACCGTGACTTCTGTAGGTGAAAAGCTACTCATCTACCAATAAATGCAGGTGTGTGACGGCGACAGAACAACAGGCGGAAGCAGACGGACCTGTCCTGGAGGTGGACGTCCTGTCCCCAGCAGCTTCCTGCTGCCTCTCCCTGAGCCAAAACCACCCGGTTCTGAAGCGCCTCCACCTCCCATGTATGCAAAAATAGACGGTGTGTGCGTTACCTGTTGTAGGGGTTCCTCAGCAGCAGCGCCTGGCTGCTGGTGCAGCTGTCTGAAGGCGTGTGGCATCCGTAGACCGGCGGAGGGACGGCGTACTGCTGCTCACCTGCAACACAAGCCACAGGTGAGTTACACCTGAGAGCACGACCTCTGAAGCACAACGTCTGGTCTGAACCCTCTGATCACATCAGGCTCAACCAACTAACTATACTGAGTTAGTTTGAAGTGACCATCTAACGTCCAGGTTGTTTACAGATTAAAGGTTTAACCTCCTGACCTTAAAGTGGATTTTATGAAGCTAACTTAAATGTACTTTTACATCAGCTAGCACAAAAACGTAGCTTCAATTACACATAATAAGTGTATAACATAATAAGTTGATTATTATCTAAACGCTGTTTGCAACTCCAGAGGTTTCTGGAAATCAGTAATTCTTTTAAAATTCTTATCTTGCGACCATGCATTGAGTTAATTAAGGTTTATTAGTGTTCATGACGGACTTTTACAGGTGAGTTGGTGTCGAATAACATGAGCAACTGTTTCTGGGTTTATTATAACAGATCAGATGTTGAGCAGGAGGATAAAACCACCTGGTTGATGAAATAATTCAGATTTATTCCACAGAACACCACAGATCGAGCTACATCAAGCTAACCAGGAGCTAGCCACGTGCTAGCATTAGCTAAAGTTAACCTGGTTGATGAAAATCTCAGTTTTCTTTTCATGTTAAACTTCAGTAAAATTAGAATCAGCAGCGATCTGAAACGTTTGAAAGTCAAGAAGCAGGAAAATGAAAAGAACAAGTTTAATTCCTCGACGTCTCAGCTCCTTTAAACTCTGCCTGTCTTATTGTTTTATATTTTATCCTTCATATTTCTCTAACGTAGCGAACGGCTCCTCGCCGTCGCTCCTAATCCGCCCTCGGCTCCGTTATCTTTGGATTTTACAGCTTCGGCTCCATTTAAATATTTACCAACAGCGAGCGGAGCCGAGGGATGAGCAGGAGGTGGGCGGATGAAAGCAGGATGTGGCTGATTTATGCCTCCCACAGCCAAGGTCGCTGCAGAACCAGAACCAGGGACTCTCCCCGAGGTGAAGCCAGCTGTGCACTCGACAAGAGGATTCAAACAGGCTGCTCTGATTGGACCAGACTCATTGTTGTTTAACGGGAATTCTTGTGAGATAAAAGCGGTCTTTTCCAGATCTGCAGAGGAAGATGGCCGACGACCTCGTTTAAATCAACTTTAGCGCGCTTTGGTCAGCGGACGTCAGAGTGTGTGACCGACCTCCAAAGGCAGCAGTTACAACATCATTTATTAAAAATCAGCCTGAATCGGACTTATTTTATAACTTTGAATAGAAGAACAGAAAGAATAGAAAAATACTTTATGTATCCCAAGCCTGGGAAATCACTGAAAAGTCATGACGCCTTAGAAATGTGTCAATTCAGCTGAAAGCACTTTTTTAAGTTTGCTGTACCTGGAAAACACAAATGCTGCGCTAATAAGATCAACAAACGCTCGATCTAAACGGACCTAAATCTG